ATATAGAGATCATATATAGAGTTAAGATGCCCAATTATTAATATATCAAAAATAAAAATCAAGAACTAAATAGCAGAACAAACAAATAGGTAAATATTGATACATTTTTCATTTTCTTATGCATAAATGCGTCTTCGTTAACATATTTCCCTTTTCCTTTTCCATATAGATTTTTTCAGTATACCTATTAATTGCTTGAAATATGTAGGGTCACGTAATTAAAAACACAATATAATTTACCAATTCATGTGTAGCTCATGCAAGACAAGATAGTAATTTGAACGATATCGTTATTGACCAATTTTTGACCTATTTTTTTTGTCACTAGTACTACAAGAAAACATATCAATTTTTTACCAATTTTTTTGTGGTCAAAACTATTTTGACCGTTTTCGACCAATTTTAGGCGAATGTTTATTTTCGTTATAAATTGGTCAAGAAAATATGATGAAATATAATAGTCGAAAATTGGTCGAAATTTTTAGACCAATTTTTAACGGATTCGTAAATTTGTCAAAAAATGGTCGAAAATTGCGACAAAGAAGATTGGTTGAAAATTGGTAAAAAAAACATGTTAATTTTTTACCAATTTTTTTACCAATAAATTGGTCAAAATATTTGTTGACAAATTTTCGGCCAAAAAATTATAAAAATTTAAACTCGTCAAAATATGATCAAACTTTTTTTGACTAATACAAGTGGTCAGTAAATAGTCAAAATATTCTTACCATTTATCGACTAAAACAAAATTTGGTCGAAACTTCGTGAGTAATTTTTTACGAATAAATACTTGACAGAAATTGGTCACAATATTATCGACCAAATATTGAGGAGAACACTTATATTGTATTTGTCCCACATCGCCAATATGGGAGGGATGAAACTTTGACTTTCTCTATAAAATAACACTTACTCTTATTGTGAAAAACGTAAATGAGTTTCATGGTCCAAATAGTTGAATTTTGAAATAATTTAATCGCTGATTGAGTGGATATTTTGAAATTATTATGAATCAAATATTTTAAATTTGAATTTTTATATTTTCGAATATATTGTTTTTTTAAATATTTTATATTTTAATTTTTTAAAAATATTTAATGTTATTTTAATTATTATGAATCAAATATTTTAAATTTGAATTTCAATATTTTCGAATTGATAAAAATATAATTCTAAATTTTAAATATCTAAGTTGGTCAAAAATTGGTTAGAATATATGGTCTAAATTTGGTCAAAATATATAGTTTCGACCATTTTGATTGATCAAAAAATTTTGACGATTGTGTTGGTCATTATCAAAATTTTGACCACTTTGTTGGTCAAAACCAAAATTTTGACCATTTTTATTGGTCAAAACATTTTGACTATTTTCTGACCAAATTCTATTTGCGACCATCGATTTTTTACGAATCGATTTTGGTCAAGTACTAGTCAGAAATAGCTGTTTTGGACCAATTTTAGACCAAATTGGTAGTCAAAATTGGAATCCTTTCTTGTAGAGGACTTGATTTGGGGCACTTTACGTAGTTATATAAGTTCAATAAAGGAGCCTCGGTACATTGAGTTCCACAGGTACCTCTTTGGCCTTCCAAGAGTTCCTTTTGTGGCCTTTGCGCTCAATTTTGTGTTCATTCAACAATGACCATATTCAGAAGTGGAACGAACAGAGGGAGAGTGGAACTTTTCCGGGTCCTCTTTGAACCGGGCTGTTAGAAATCTTGATATGAAGAGGCAATCAAGTCCATAAGAATGGTACATATATAGTTTGGTGGTTAAATTCTTAGGGTCATGTTATGATCGTTGAAAAAAGCTTGTGTGTGTGTGTGTCATGTGGTTGTTTTGGCTTTTTTCTCTATCTGGTTAAAGTGCTCTTTCTTGGAATGTTTAAGGAAGGCCTATCAAATAATGAAATGAAAAGAGATTCTTCGATTAGGTTTGTAACTAATAAAACCAAAACAAACTACTCAATGCCTCTCTCTAATTCTATGTTTAGTAGATTACGTAGAAGACAAATACAACCTTTGTTGTCTCTTCCCCCCCCCCCCCCTTAAATAAATGGGGCAATTACAAAAATACCATTTTTTGTGTACACATTTGCAAGAATGCCACTTAGGGGTGCTCATTTGTAAAAATGCCACTAATTATAGATTTATAAAACCTATATCTTAAAATTCTAAACCCTAAAAAATGTTTTGACCCCTAAAACCCCCTAAATCCTCATAACTAAACTCTAATAGAACATAATTAACCCAAACATAAATGATATAAATAAAAAATAATTTTGAAAAAGTGACATTTTTGTAAAGATTTCAAAAGTGTGGCATTTTTATAAAGTGGCACTTGAAAAATGGCATTTTTTTAAATTTCTCTAAATAAAATTCAATAGGAATCATGACAAGTTTTGTTTTGAAGGCTACTGGTTGGACATAATTCTAATCAAATTTTAAATGTGAATAACAATTTAAATAATATTGAATGCTATTTACATGTTGACTAGTGTTAGCTTTTCTCTTTTTGAATTTTATCATACAAAATAAATGTTTATATAAATAATTTTACTAACAAATAAATGAGGCTTTTTTTTAACCTGAAAGCAAATTTCATTAGTAGAAGTTAATTAAGGTCTAGTGGGTTTATGATCAGCTCTTACAAAAAAGAAGAGAGTGATTTTCTGTCTCTCTGCAAGGTTACGAAGTATGATGCATGACAAAATAGAGATAATTAAGTTAAAAATTGTGCTTCCATTTTTTTTTTTTTAATAAAAAACTCTTTAGTACCAATTAAGTTAAGAATTAGGAAATACACGTATTTTTTACATTTTTTTAATTAATGTCTTAATTTATTATCAAAGCATCTACAAAGCCCACTCGAACTAATATTTATTTTCTTTCCATAAAAAAGTAACTTTTCTTTTAAAAATCCAGTAATTATTTATCGCGAGAGAGAAGAAACGAGTCCATAATTATCGCT